TTATAAAGTAAGTAATTTTCCCAACTCACCAATATACGCGCAACGCGCAAAAGTACAAGTACAGTGAGTATACAAAGTACAGTAAGTATATAGATACAAAAATACAGTGTCAACTACTGTAAATTATTTTAACCTGTAAATAACAGGTGTAAAAAAAGTGGTACAATAGGGCTCCAGGCGACGATCCACTTAAAAAAATCGAACGCGCCATAAGTGGAACCTCAAAGGTGGTGCGGAAGACCACTACTTATTAATAGTATTAATAAAATTACCAATCTACATCTATTTGACTGCAGTTTTAATATGCTACTGTGTTCCTCCACTAATCTCCACAGTACATGTATATGTAGTTACTGCAGTAACTCTTGCTAATATGCAGTAGTTTAAAATAAATAATTAAAAGCTTTGCAGGCGTGTAATCTTTTATGTTGATAAATGTAAAATAACAAGCATGGTTAAACGAGTAAGGCGAATGGCAAGAATATTAAAAATCTCGTGTTTGAAAACTGTGATTTTGTAACTTTTTTCCTTTTTGATATTTATTTTAAGTAAATTATTAGATAATGTTTTTGGCTAAAAAAAAATTATTTTATCTTTATTAAAAATATTCGCATATGTTAAATTAGCACTTTGTTGCAACATTGTAAAATAACTTCATTTTTCTATTAACAATAGCAGATCTGTATTATTTCTAAAATTGTTAGTTTAATATATGCGAATATTAATAATAAATAGAAAATATTATTTTTTTGGGCAAAAAAATAATTATCTAATAATTTACTATGTTAGTAACAAAATAGTGGAAAAAAGAAAAAAAAGTTAGCACGAAGCAGGTTTCGAACAGGTGATCTCTAATATCCCAGCCACTCGCCTCAGAATTTCTTTTCTGAATCAGAAACGCTTGCTTTTAACATGCAAGTAGCATGCATTTATCGTCTGTTGTGTCGGCTCGGTGGAAGGGAGCGTTCGCTCTCTTCCATTGGTTGAACGGCCGAGCTCACACGGATACGTGACGTAGCGCTTCTGTAAGGTTGTGTGAGGCAGCGGAGCCGGGACCGCTGTGGGAAATATCGCATCACTGGTCCGTTCTTATATTTAAAATCGTCTTAAGCACGGACTTATATTCGCTCTCTTCGTCACACATAGATTGTGTCTGACGAAGAGAGCGAATATAAGTTCGTGCTTAAGACGATCTTGAATATAAGAACGGACTATGAATACCGCCCTACATACCTATCGTTAATACCGTCGGAGCATAAAGTACGAAATAGTTGCCATCATTTCAACTGCGAGGGCGCAGGCTGACCAGTTGAAGGAGCGACGTATTAAAATTTATAAAGATGGCTACTAGTTCGATAGCATGAGAAGTTATTGGATGCGGTATAAACGTTGAGTGAATATTTCATCGAATTATAGTTTCGCAACGGTGGACTTGGGTGAACTCTTATCTAAAGCGGTCGCGTGGCTATTCATAAATCGCAATTGAATCCAACGAAAGAACGATTAAACTCGGGAAGATGGGCCGTTCGCGTTCCAGAACGAAATCGCCGAGCAGACGGCGTCACAAGAGCAAGCATTCTCGCAAGCGATCGAAATCGCGTGAGAAGCACTCGAATAACAAATACTCGGATAAACCAAAAGAACGTAGTTCCAAATCTAGGTGTGTCTAGTTTGAAACTGTATCATTCTATTTCTGTATCTCTAATGCTTCGTAATTTGACGAAGAATTTGGATTTCATCATTTATTCGGCCATTTTGTGACACTTCAAACATCAACACGTTTATATTAGGCAATAGAAAAAAATTGTGGATTCACGATACGTGGCATTTCTTGTTATTGCGCAGTAAACTCGATTTTGCATATATATAGCAGACTTTGACATGTTTATTACTTGGACAATATCCAATTTAACTTTGTTTATGTACATTAGAAATAACATGACACACTTGTTTATTTAGGAAGCGATCCCATTCGACATCGTCCAGTACTGGTACGGATGCATCAGACGATGTACATATTGTCAGTCATAAAAAGCGCTCTTACAGGGACAGGGATCGAAAAATGGACGAAGTGGAGAGGCTGGCAGAAATGGAGCGTCAAAGGTAAACAATAATTATTATACTGATAATGTTCCTCTTGATAATTTGCATTAGAGTCAGTTGATCTTAAATTTATATCTTAATTTATCTTTTAATCTTTTTTTATATTTTGTTGCATATCAAGTGGAACATATATGATTATTTTATATCTTAAATTCTTGTTATATGCTATTCTTTTATACTTGTGTTGTCAGGAAAAAGAAAGAATTAATGAACAAAATCTACACCACGAGCGCGGTTGGGTAAGAATGAGTAATTATTTCATGGTGGTGGTTTATCTATATTTAAAGTTAATCACTGTATTGTAATTTGTTTTTGAGAAAAACATGCTTGTGTTGTGTTTTATGCAAGTATTAAATTTTTCAGTAACATCTTTAGTACTATCATATTCAGCAAATTTCTATCATTGATTCAAATAATTTTATTAATGGACTTCAAGAAAGTTGCAACACTTGAAGTTTAATTAGAAGATTTAGCATGTTCTTAATATAACTTTTGTACAAGAATAAGTGTTCTGAAGTAGTGGTTTGGAAGAAGATTGCTATTTATTTGTCTGCAGACGTCAACGTGAGGTAGAGCAAAAGATGGTGGAAGAGGAAGCAGCCAAACGTATAGAAGAACTTGTACAGAAGAGAGTAGAAGAGGAACTTGAGAAACGTAAAGAAGAAATTGAAGCCGAGGTGCAAAGGCGGGTAGAAGAGGCAAAGAGGGCCATGGAACGTCAAATGATGGAAGAGATGGAATGGAGACAAGCTAAACTACGTGAGGAGGAGAAACGAAGAGAGGTAAGATTTATCTATAGAAATATTGGTCATTGATAGCCCAAGCGCTGTTATGATCAACAGGAAATAAATCTAGTACACTTGTAGCAATTTCCGAAATTGGAACATGTATTTTTACGAAAAGTAAATTATAGGTAATATTATTTATATCGTAGATGATAAATTTAAAGTAGACTAATATATTACGAGATTTATAGAACATCAAGTATGTAACAAATGAAAAACCATCCAAAAAATATGTTGAGGCTTTACTATAGTTGTTAAGCCGGACCAAGTGCAATTTGTAGATCTTCTACGTATTTAAATCTTGATGTTACAAAATTGCAATTGTATGATTTACAAATTGTACTATTTTTATTTAAGAATATTTATTATCCAACTCGGAGAATCAACCAGTTTTATATTTTACGATCACAGCGTTTGGGCTTGAAGCATTGTGGTTCGCGTTTACACCGCAAGAAATTAAGCGAAAAAAACCACATTGCTTCGACTTCTCAGCATCCACTGAGGTCGCGTTGTTGAGAAGATGTACTTTATATTATTATGGAAAAGAGATTCTGCTATCATAGGCGCATGTATCGGTTATTTATGATCAGATTATTTGTACCATGTATATATATATATATTTATATATCTGTACAACATTATAAACCTTTTTCATCACACGAATATTTGGATTGACGTTTGTGTCAACAATTCTAGAAATTGTGCTTAAACTGTTCTGATTCGTTTGAATCAACGGTCTTCACTCGCAATTTCTGTAATTGTTGTGCATGTTGACAGGTTCTACTTATCAGTCTTCTTATATACTTATCAGTTTAGCTTAAAAAATATCCGCGTATGTGAGACTGTCCATATTACCGCATCATATAATCTTTAAGAGAATAGCAAAAAGAAAGTATCATCGATTAAAAACAAAGTAACAATCCCAAACTTTGTAATCTATCAAACAAGAGAATTCTATTATTCTTGAGTCTGAAATAAAGTTATTTTTGTATAATATCATAGGAAAATAATATTCTTCCCTGAACAGTTGTCACTGTCAGTTAAATCGGATAATATTACATTACTGATGCTGTATAAAACATATACATCAAGCGCTGCAGATAAGAATATGAGCTTGTGCATCGCTATAAATAAAATTTTGTTAGATTTTTCCTGACTTAACTATTTTCGTAAAATTATATACACAGGTATACAAAAATGTATAAAGATGCATTTTTTAAAATGTAATTTGATTAACTTATATCGCTACTTTATATCTGTTTGCGAAAATTTTTTGAATATATTATACATTGAACATGTAGGTATTATCTGTTTCGAATTTTAAAAAGATTGACAAAAATATTCGATTATTAATTCAGCGGTATTATTTTATCCTTCAATTGTAATTTTTGAGTTTGTTTATTAGTTCTTAGAAAACTATTAATTACTGTGATAAAGATTTAATTTGTCAGAATCTAATCTGTTACAAAACGAAAACTTTATTTTGTTTTGTTGATTAGAATTTTATTTGTTACCACTATGTCTATGCACAATTATTTTCTTTCCCTTGAAAAATCAGCTCGCTCCCGTCGACTGAACAGCAACCCCAATTACAAGTTTATTAGAAATTTTACTCTCATTGCTTTGCACATTGAGTTCGCACTGAATATATCTACAAGTTTGGGAAAAAATTTGTTAGAAAAGGGAGAAGTAGAGACCTTTTAAGAGGGCAGAATTAGAATCCCATAGCGACAAAGCACGACCTAGCGATATATAGGTCACCTTCCTTACTGACTACCAACAGAAGATGCCGGTTTTTTACTCACTGCTGAGTGATTGTCGATGAAGAAGGCATCCCCTACGTGCTGGCGTGAGCTTCATTCAGGTATTATCCAATTTATATATTCATAATTCATTTTATACCAATATTATATTATCATCGTTCTTTATTTCAACACTTTGTAACCGGAAAGACCATATATTAGGGCTCATTTTTTATAGATTCGCTAAATACTATTACCATGGGACACAACGAATTTCCGTCGACAGATCGGGCGGATGGCAACAACCATTTATATAAATGTATCTTAAGATATTAATTTCGGAATTACCATTTACAAATCCTTATTTAGAAATCACAACTACAGACTTAATATTACATAACACACAATACACACACTTATCACATTTTCAGTCTTTATCATGCACTTATCAGAACATTGTGGCATCGCGTTTATGAAATAAAAATTGCAGTTTTGTGTATTTGCATGCACATTGGATTTGTATAAAATTATCAAAAATTTAATTTTGTATTTGACATCCTAAATTGTATTTTTATTTGGACAGTCTAAGAAGAAAAAAAAACAGCGTTTGTTGGGATGTAACAGAAATACATTGACACGAAAGAAGGAACTGTGTTTATACATACGTTCTTTGTCATTCTGTCCTTATCTCTCGATAAGCCATCGGTTTTTTTTTAATCCAAAAAATCCTTAAAATTTCATATGTCCCGAATTTCCTGCCGCATAAAGGTTCTTAGGATGTGTAACACTAGGCTGTTGACATAGCAGCACTATGATTTACGAATGGTGTAACAACAGCTGGTGATCGACAACATCATTGCTTTGTGTAAACCTATTTCATTGTCATTGTAGGAGGAAGAGCGGAAGAAGCGTGAGGAACTAGAGAGGATTATGGAAGAGAACAACAGAAAAATAGAGGAAGCTCAGAAGAAACTGGTAAGTCGTCAATTTAAGGTACAACTTCAAGAACGAGATCTTAATGTGCAATTTACGCATATTTAACCTCAGGCTGAAGAAAGATTGGCCATGGTTGAAGAGCAACGGTTAATGGAAGAAGAGAGGCAAAAGATGAGGAAGGAACACGAAAAGCGGGTGAAGGAAGAACAAAAAAGGATCCTAGGCAAGAACAACTCGAGGCCTAAGTTATCCTTTACGCTAAAATCGGTTACGTGAGTCTGTGTATTGTTACGTGCAGTTTCATATGTGATATCTACACATCTTGTCAGCTTTCATATTTGACCAGCGAGAACAGTCGCCGTAGGTTATACCTACACAAGTACATAGTGCAGTAACGTAAGATCTAAAGCTCACCCTAATGTATTCAAAGTGTTTGTTGAAATCAGGCAAGATTGAATTTTATTTGATTCTGATGATATAGTCAGAATTAAATAATCAATTCTCTTCTTGCGAGGTTTCAACATAGATACAAACGGGATTTCACGTTATGCAAGATTGCACTGACATTAGAATGAACGAATATAAATATCTAACATACGAAAGTATTACGATACATTAGCATTTTTAATATAACATACTAAAAAAAATACTTTTTAACTTTGTATATCATTTAAAATACTGTTTGGAGCCGTTGATTCGTTCTATCTGATGTAAGTGTACTCTAGCCCAAACTTAGATGTGTTCCGTGATTAATACATATACAGTTCATATATTGTTGGTTCTCTTTATCATCTTAATATACAGAAATCGTAATGATTTTATTTCAGCGAAATGAATCATATATAACGTATTGAATCATATGTAGAAATGATTTTATTTCAGTGATAACTCGTATACAAATGAATTATAGAAAATTATTTGCGTCGCAATAATAATAGATTTAATTTTTCTTACTGTTAAATTGGCTGAACAGGATTTGTTACAGAAGACACGAGCATTACTTCCCTTCTTTTAATGTTATCTGTTTTATGACTATCTTTAAAATATAACGTATGATAAAGGATTTCGTGACAGTGCGGCGAATTTTTACAATTGCGTTATTCGATTATACACATCCGTACTCATGTGTAAAATCTGATGCAGAATATATTTATTCTGCGACATAGCAATGAATCAGTATTTTACAATAGAAAATCAAATTTAAAATATAACATAGAAATTTGAGACACTAAAAAATTAAGTGATTTTGTACGTGAACAATGTATGCATGCATGGAAGTGGCAATTTTACTTGCGTTAATCGTATAATTATGTGTACGCATTTTTCTGTGAAAAGAACAACATTTATCCGTATAAGGTTGTATACTCACCGCATTGTTATTTGTAAAATAAACATGTTTTTAATATTTTCGCTCTTTGATTACTCTTATAAATATCATGCGTTATACGATATCATGTGTTGAAGGAACACATTTTAAATTGAGAAGCACATTTGTGTTTTTTCAACGTACATAGCTGGCGATTTATGACGCTTTGTTTATATGCTAATACGAAATTGCTTGCATTAGGAAATTGAGCGGATTATGATCGAAATTGAAACAATTCTTGAAATAGGTTTTCGGAGAAGCGCATTTTGACAGTACTATTTTATACAGTCATGTTACTCGAGTCAGTGCTTCCGTGGTGATTTTGACGTCACAAATAAACTCTTGCCACGAATGCCGAGACTTGTGCCTTGTCCCAAAATATTGACGCCGCAAAACGGATTGCGTTGCTTGTAAATACATTCAAATCCTCCGCGAGGAGCTTTTCTATTTTTACGCCGGTCTAAAACCACTAAAGATTATAATAGATTTTATATAATATTTTTATGTTTTTATATAATATAATGACATACCTTTCATTGCATCTTCTATTACTTCTGGATACAATTTTGCGGTAACTTTACTGCTTGGCGGATGCAATCGTGGATTTGTATTTATTTCTAATAGCCACACGGAAAAATTATCCGCCACTACGAAATCTGCACCGTACAATTGAAAACTGTTTTTACGATTTACCATATTATCTTGAGACGCGAGCAGCGCTCCGATCAAATTTTGTTTTATCCCCGGTCTGATGATTTGTTCCCAAGCTAATTCTTGATCGCGCGATCTAAAACAACAATTTAATTTATTAGTTAAATAATTTTTAATTGGCTTGAAGAAAAACTAATATAAATACTGAAGATAATTTTTGAAGTCTTGCAGATTCCAGTGAAGCTCCGTGGGTAAATTGGGATTGCATCTCGGTAACTTCCGGTACTTTAACTGTATAGTCGTGTTGCACAAGTGAATGGACTCGTGAAGATCGCTAAGAGTGAAATCCTTCGACGCGAATCGTATTAAGATATCCCTGATTAAACAATTTAAATTATTGAATAATTTGAGGAGTGTAAATACGAAAAGGGGGGGGTAATAAGATGAAAAATATACTTATACATCCACACAACAAGCGGTTGCGTACAAGTTATCAAGAACCACTGCCTGATATCTATTTTTGTTTTATGAACAAGTAACGGTCGCTCTGTAAATTACCGTTGCAAATATGACATTTTTTACATTGAATTATCGCATTATTTTATATTTTTGATCTATTTCATGATTATTAAAATAATTTAATGATACGTACCTATATATTTTTGTACAACGTACTCGGTATTTTCTTTTGTTGCCTGATTTATTTTGGCGAGAATATCGACCAAGGAATTCTTTAAAACAATTCCACGTCCTGAACTGTCGTCGCCCGGTTTTAAAATCCAAATATTTCGCATACCATCGATATTACTTTGCGGTCGATATTTGATCATTGTTCTCATTACATTGCGCACTAGTGTTACGAGTTCCTGCAAATTCTCAAATTTATTAATTATGCTTCCTTTTCTCCAAGATATATTTATTAAAATATATTGTGAAAGAAACACTACAATTCGAATATTACAATATTTGAACATACATCTATATCAACCGTATCACTTGTTTTCAATAAAACACGCTCGTATATTATTTTGTGAAACCAATCTAAAAATTGATTCCAGACAGACAGAGGTGTATGTTTATGGTCTTCACGGTCTATATTCTCGTGTGTTTGAATACTGAAAATGTTTCGTACCTGTCAACACCTAATACCTATGTAATACACTTATATAATACAAATATTTTTTTTTAGAACCTTAGATATTCAATACAACGTTCTAAGGCGAAAGAAATTGCAGTTATGGGTATTGTTCCATTCGGAGACCAAATGTTTTTCGGTCCTACCAAATTGGAAAGCAGTATAAACCACTTTAATATCCCGAAACACGCAGTGATGTAATAATCCTGTATGAACTCCTCCATTTGTGCCGGCTATTAAAATAATTCAGTATGTATGCAACATTACATTTTATATTTAATTTTACATTTCTATATTTATATTATTTCTATATTTTATATTCATTTTATATATCAATTTCTATATTAGTTTTGTAAATATAATATTTTAATGTTGTAATTCAAACACGATATTCATACTTGATAAATATTATAGCATCGAGGAAATTGTATACCCGACACACCGGCTTCGCAAAACCAATAGGCATTTTCCAAATTATTACACATGTCAACCTAAATATCTCGCTAATTAGAAATTATTTATTTTACGTTACGTGACATGTGTTTGTATATTAAATTACTTTTGACGTGAAGTAGCTACCAGCGAATTTATTCACGATAGTCTTGTCCTCCACTCGTATAATGGGTCTCTTATTTGTATACCATATAAAATCTGCGGCAATCTGCAGTAATTTTTCAATTTGTCCTAAGCCATCTACGAAACGTTTATTTTTTAATTAATATAACAATTATTATAGAACGTACTTTTTACAACCTTCACACATATCGGGAGTCATTAAAATCATTTTCTTAATTGCTCTTTTTTCAATCCAGCCTCTGTCTGCCAATGGTTTTCTCAAAGCCGGAAACGTGCCGCATATCACATAACATTTATGCTCATTAATGGCTTTTGTCAAAATTTTCAATAGAAGATTTATTCGAGTTTCGCTGTTTGTTACTAACTTTAAATATTCTGTTAATATTATGTTTCCATCTTCTTGATCAGTTTTCTTGTCTTTTGCTTCTAACAATTCTTCCAGATCCTCGCGATTGCAACAAATTTCAGCATCTACAGTTTTGATCTTTTTGCTCGCGCATTGTGAATTAATTTCCAGTTTTGGAACTGTCAGAATTAATCGCAAATCTTTTCCTTCGTTGCTTTTTGGACAGATCTGCATTTTTATAAAATATCAAAGCTGATAGTAAGATAAATCAAGAGATTTTGCAATAGTATAAAATTTTATCGATGCAAACCTGCCAACCTTCGAAATGTTTTTTAATTGTGCAATTTTCCGAAGTTAAACTTATCTGCCACTTACAATTAGATTGACCGTCTGTATAAATTACTGAATTATCGTTGCTGTCGCAATGCATCTTATTTAGAATTTTTAAAATTATTTTTATATTTTGATTTGTATTATTTATCTATATTTTTATCTATTTTATATTTTTTATATTTGTATTTTACGTTCTTTAAAAATTTGGTCTTTAAACTTGACAACTTATGACGAAAGTGACAATTTACTGCTTTCGTTTTGCCTTTATCGATTATCGCGTGACTCGATAACCCACATTCACGGTTTATGGAGTTAATCTTTAGTCACGGTTAATAAATATTGTCGTAATGGAAAATATACCGTATATTCTAAAATTATACAATTTCTTTATTTGCATATTTTATTCAGTTAAATATCTCCATTGATTATCTTAATTTCTGCATTTCTTTAATGTTTTCTTCATTGATTCGTTTAAGTGTTTCTCTACCGCAGGATTTGGAAAGATTGGCTTCTGGATTTCGATATGTGCTTTGCCCTTTGAAATTGCAACAATTAATTTGCTTTAATGATCTTCGCATTTTTCCAATTTTGAATAATTGTATGTTTGAATATGTCTGTTGACGGAAAAGTTGAAGATAGTTTTGATAAAGCTTCACCTTTTTTATTTATTTCTCATATAACTTCTTTGATAGTTCTCAGCAAATATATATTCCTTGCGATATGTTGTTTTGTTTTTGTAGGATTATTACTTCTGTAATTAAATGTACTATTGGAAAGATTTTTATTTGTTTGTCGAAATATTTTAGTATTTTTGAACAAGAAATTTTGAAGAGCAACTAAAATTTAAATCAGAGTTGTTAGAATCAAGGTTATTTATATTTATTTTTATCGTTCTTTGTATGTTTTTTGACTGAAGTCTTACATAATAACATTATTAATCATGATGATGGGAATATAAAACAATGCTAACAATTTTTTTGTAACATTTATTCATTGTATACATATATTACTTGTAGATAGAATTAGAGAATCAATCAACAATAAAGAGGAGAATAACGAGTGCGACTGATAAACTTTTTGATTACTTGGTCAGGCTCAAACCGACAGCATACATTTCAGCGATGTCCCCTAAAACTTTATTTTTCTTGTGATGCGCTTGTTTCTTCGGCAAGTTGCGAGTCTTGCTTTTAGTCGTCGACGCGGTGGTGACTTTCGGTCTTGGCGTAAATAGGGATGGCAGTGGCGATACTTCCGACGAAATCGTCGCGTTTCTCTTGTACTTCTTCACAGCATCTCGCATCGCGGTCTTGATGATCTAACAAAAAGAGCAGGGAAAGAAAAATCGTTACGTGATGATAAAAAATATGTACGGATTGTACCTTTTCTTCATTTTTCCTCGATGGTTTCTCAGACTTAGGCGCTATATTCGTCGATTGCTCTTGAAGAGCCATGATCTTCGAGATCAACGTCTGTTTCATTGGAGATGTATCCGATTTGCTGCTCCCAGTACCAGCAAGTGTACGTAACTTTCGTGCCGGTTTTTGCGAAGAATTTTTTCCGATATTCGATGATTTACTCTTAAGAACACGATAAAAATTGGTCACAGTGTTTACAAATCGTGTAATCATTGATTTCGAAAATAGCAATGCTTTTTCTAATTAAATTCTAATTACCTGAATATTAGGTCTGGACGAAACTAATGACTTTGCTTTGTTGATAGACGCTGTATTCGCTGATGTACTTTTTGTTATAGTTTCCACTTTTTCAGAAACTGTCGTCTTTGTAGGCTTTGCTGGCGCAGTCGCCGGAAGTGCTGGTCTCAACTTGGGCGAATCCGTGTTGTAATAAGAGTATAACTCTTGATCAAGCTGGATCTCTAATTCTTCTATGAGATCAACGATTACTGGTCCAATGCTGCTGTGCACTATCGACTTCTTTTTTGTCTGACGATAAAGAAACCAAATACTATGAATATTAGCAAGACTAAATTATTTTGTTATCTTTATAGACTCACCATCGGAGATCTTGCGACTAGACTGGCTTTTGAATCCTGATTTAGACTTGATTTCTTCTCGCAAGTGGTGATACGAGTGCCCTGAAGAGACAGAGCCGCGCCCAAGTATGGCTGACAATTTGGCATTCGTTGCTTGTATGCTAACTCAAAGTCTCCGGTGTCCGCGTTTTTATCTTCTCGAAAATCTACCACGACTATCAGCAAAAACGATTTTTGCCATAATTGTTTGTAAAACAATTCAAAGAGATAAAATTTTGATTAGTTTCATTAATTACCTTTGATAGTATCTTCCATCACCTGTCGACATAATCGCGTGGTGACACTCGTGGAGTAACTCATGTCTGGATGGCTGTTGATTTCGATTAGCCACACAGAAAGGTCCTCCATGACCATAAAGTCGGCGCCGTATAGTTCGAAACTGTTTTTCCGTCGATCCATGGCTTCTTGACTAGCCAATAACGAACCCACCAGACCTTGCTTCATTCCAGGATAGATTAGCTCATCCCACGCGTTACCATGACCTTGAGATCTAAGGAATTCTTATGTGTGAGCATCCTTTAAGAATCACATTTACAATGTTCAAGAAGCTCTTATGTTATTCTTTTAAATTGAAAAGTCAAATATATGCTGATGACATTTAAAATAATGTAAATTGGAATTTTTAGGGAAGTACGCGAGCGATTCTTCGCAACACGACATGACGTAAATCATACTTGAGGAACTCCTTGAATGTCGTGGCATCCCACATATTGTCTGCTGGTAGGGCAGGGTCCCTGTCGCCGCAGTTATTGTATTTGCATTGGATCGCGTGATTGCACAGATGAATCGACTCGTGGAAATCGTCCAGGCTGAACTTTTGGGAGCAGAAACGAAGGTAGCTCTCTCTGTAAACAAGCAATAATCGACCAAGCGCCTCTACCTTCACTATTATTATTAGTAGCAATTGTTAGCGGCAATTAAATGTAGACGATTGCGTTCTATGCGCTATTGTCTAGATATTTATATCCACAAACTTAACTGCCGGCAAACAGGGTCGCGCGCTTTAATGTCAGCAAAACATAAATTGATTATTATCCTAGTTTTGGAGCTATCATTATTTCTTATACTCGAGTCGCTATTGTGCTCGCTAATTGTTATGGCGTGAGCGTTACAGAATGTCGTGACTTGTCCAGACATTCTTAGAGTATTTGCGTACCTGTACATCCAGAGAGTTAAAGGTTGAGCGCACGTCACGATAAACCATTGCCTTATGTCGAATTTGGTGTTGTAAATCAGTAACGGCCGTTCTAGCAAAAGTAATTGATTTTAATTAAATTGAATTACAAACAAATAATGCTTGTGGGAAAATAATTGGCTATTCTTTCTTCGATTATTAATTGGAAAGTTTTATTACCAATGTATTTCTGCACGACGTATCGGGCGTCCGGTTTGCCTGTTGGATTTACTTTTGCCACCACGTCCTCCAGTTTGTTCATCAGCGTAATACCTCGTCCTCGGCTCTTGTTTCCAGGTTTCAGGATCCACACGTTCGTTATGCCATCCATATCTATTTGCGGCCAGTACTTCCGCATTTTTTTTAATATGTGTTTTGAGGCCAGAACGTATTTCTATTGGCAAGCATAGCACAAATATCTCTAAGTAGCGCATTAATTAGCATAAGTGAGAAAAATAAAAAATTATTATTTGCCAGCAGATATCTCACGTTAAAAGGCACGTTGGTGTGAACGAAGAGAGCTTGATCACGAATGATCTGGTAGTACCAGCTAATAAATTGGTCCCACTGATGAGACCAGACTCTCTCAACCTCCTGATCGATGTCCTCGTGTGACTGAGCACTGATGTAGTCGCTGCATCTTTTGATCGCGAAATCGAGAGCTTTGAGAGGTATCGTGCCAGTTGGTGAACGCACGGCATCTTCGTCCTCAGCATTTACCTTATCCACTAACCATTTCAACAAGCTCAAACAACCCGTGAGTCTGACAGAACATTATCCAATAATTTTTATCATCAACAAATGTGTTTGTTAAATTTTTTAAGTAATGCGTAAAGTTTTGTGTTGAAGCTCGATAAGCTCTCACCGGAAGTCATCGATGAAGGCGTGCATCTGATCGCCCTGATATATGTTGTAGCAACGCGGAAATAGAGTGTTAGCCACTTCAGCTTCGTAATACCAATGCATTTGTCTGACGCTTGAACACAAGCCCACCTGAATAATTGATTTTCAAAGAAGTACACGCAGCACTCCATAACGATTCACCGGCACGCTCTCCATGATTCTCACCGAGAGCGTGCATTCTCGACAGCATGCTACATTGCTTATCTAAACATCTCTTGTTGAAGTTCACGTAAGTTCTTCAAACATTTTTGATTAAGCTTGTCGATTTTTTAACAAATTATTTATACAATAAATTTTTTACTAATGTACATTATACATGAATCGTAAATTTCAGATTTAGTGGAAATTAAAAACGTAATGATTTGGAATGAAATACCTTGGACGTAAAACCAGCGCGACAGTATCGATTGAACACAGTAGTTTTATTATCTTGCGCGGGCCAGCCAGGCCAGTCGGATCCCGTGTTCCACAAAAAATCGACGGTATGATTGGTAAGCATTCTGGACATTAATAAGCGTTCGCTTTGCTGATCTCTCAGATTGCCCATGCCAGCCAGCAGAATTACCGGGCTGGAATCGACGCTGAAATGCTGATCGCCTGAAAGCATGTTACCATGAGATATTTAAAGTACAAATTATAAAGTACAATTCTTCTGCATTTGATATTAAAATAACGAGGTCTATTAAAAGTTCTTGGTGCATAGTAATTTATTACCGCCGCTGTTTCTGCGATAAAATTTCTCACACCATCCTCTTTTCAACATGCAATCGCGTATGACCCGTGACTTGCCATAAATCATAAAAGTATGATGGGCAGCTATAGCGTCCTTCACGGTTTGCTTGATACGCAAAAATCGTTCGTGAAGTGTTGGTGGCAGTTCTAAGGACGATTCGGTTTTATTCTCCGAACAGTCGGCCTCTTTTTTAAAGAAAATTGTGCAATTAATTGATATTGAATCTATTTGCGCTTAAGTGAACATAACAAATTCTTCCAACCTTCGAGAGGTTTAATATCACAATTAGTTGCATCGGTGTCTACCACCACTTCCGCTTTGGATTTTTCAATCTCATTCTCGACATTTTCTTTCTTGTCTTTTTGATCTTGGCTTGAACTTTCCAAATTTGAAGACACCCCATCGTTGGCATTCATGTAGCGGACCTAAGAACCGCAAAGCTTTCCCGCGTAAATGCGTTTCACTGATTTTCATGGATTCTTCATCGCTCGATAGATTTCAGCAAATGTGTGGGTGATGAAGGAAGCGTCGTTATTTTAATCTGAAAAAATTTAATTTAAATATATATTTATTCTTACAATATATTTAGATTTCGAAGTAATAAAGTCTATATTATTAACACAATAATTTTAATATTCGATAAAATCTTTAAGGATTCTTTTTCAGAATTCTTTTTTGATTAAACGACGAGCGTGAAGAGCGCGCGCTTTTCAATAAAATTCAATGGATCGTGACGAAACTCACTGCGGCACTTCTAATACCTGTTGAATCTTCGATTCTTTTGCAATAATGAATACATTTTTTGCAGGTACCAAGAATAGAATTATTCGCTCAGGACGAATTGTTAGCTTCGGTGGGAAATGAAATAGCGCATAGCCGCGCTGTAGATTAATCGGGCGAGGATGAAGTACGGATGGAAGTGGAGGCAAGACTGAGACGACGACGAGGACACACGCGAGTCAGGTGGTGGAATCTGATATTTCGCAGGCGCGCGCCCCACAGGGGTGTTTTTGAGGTGCCCCTGATGAAAGCAATTGGATAAGATCTCGCTGATCTACCTCGCGTTATCGATGGAATCGTTTAATGAAATTCTTCGTTCCTTCTCCGAGCTATCAAAGAGAAACCAATCGCTCCAAACTAATCGGAAAAAGTTTTAATCATGAAAATTTCCATGTCTTTGTCGCACTGTTTTTTTACTATGGTAAGTAAAATTGTTTGATAAATTGGTTTGCTCATTCTTTTGACTATAATAGTTTGATTGCATAAAAAATTAATTTTTAACATTATTTGATAGCAATTTCAATAAAAATTCTTTGAGGAAAATTCCCGCTACGTTAAAAGACGCATTCGAGTGTCTCATAATTGCTGAAGATAGCTGTGTATGACAAATAGGCACTAGACGAAACGGTCGCGTTAACCTGGGCAATAAAGATAGATGAAACGTTCCTGGACACGTGAGCTGTGCAGGTGGTGGTCGAGCGGGAGCGTACGAGCAGCGTACCAGGCACCTTTGCACACCCCCGCGGCGCAACCCCCGCGAAAACCTCGTCGAAATATAGGCAAGGAAGTCAAAGCAATCGTGTGGATAATCGGACTACACTCCGCTTCGCGACTTCGCGTGTATTCTGACCCACTTACACGGCTGCATCTCCGTGTCACGTGGACAAACCGCGGCAGGTGGCGGCCTGATGAATCGCTCGCTCGCTTGGCCTGGTATCGCTAATTGCTAGGAAGGGCTTCGATCTTCGCCCGATAATGCCTATTTTCGGAAACCGGCCAAATTTGTTTTCTCTGACGTCAAATTCAGTGTTGATCGCGTGCGAAATAAAACGTATGCGGCGAGATCTTTCGAGATACTCCGAGATTTTGAAGAAGTTGTTTGACGAAATATTAAAAAAACACGAAACACTGAGAAATTGTTGGAACGATGTGAATGATATTACTGTCGTTGACGGACAGCGGTAAGTGAAGTTGGCGATAAAAATGCGATTAAAATCGTGAAAGAAATTACCTAATATATAGAAAATAAAGACATGTATTTGTATACTATATCAATGATTTAAATAATTTCCATAAAATAATTATATTGCATATGAGAAAGTAATCTAGAATATGTTACGTAGAAACCTTACATGCCGTATCGCTAGACGAATCTTTTACTTCTAAACTTATTTTTTGACGTAATTTCTTTTCGATTTTGTAACCTCATGCCATCGAGATACCATCAAAGTCTGCATGCCTCTTATTTAACTTGCAACATGTATTATTTAAACAAGGCCAAGGTTGCGCGACCTTTAACATAGCAGCGAAAGCGTTGCTACACCACGATGATCGTCGAGAATTTTAGTTGCGTATATTTTTTACTTATTTGTTTGAGATTCTAGATGAATAACAATATAAATATTGTTTTTTTTTTATATATTTTTTACTAAAGTAATGTTTTATAATTAGTTTAAACAATATGAAGTATTAGAATAGTATTTTTCACTCGTTATTCTATTTGTAAAACTAATAATGGTCGAAATTTTAACTAAAATGCGGATTCTGGAGTTACCTATTACCGATTCTCTTACCGACTTACTATTTTAATTAAACATACAAATTTTTTTATTGGTTTAATAGAATTACAAACCCTTTTTTCACAATAAAAATACTTATGTCAATGCAATACGCAGGATCTCCTTAATTGCTGCTAGTAATTTTGATATTTCAGCAATGAATTTTTGTTGTATTATCGTCAGGTCTATATAGTTGCCCCCCCCTAACGCAAATCGT